TTTAGGGTTTAGGTTTTGGGGTTTAGGGTTAAGGGTTTAGAGTTTAGGGGTTCCGGTTTTAGGGCTTAGGGGTTCGGGTTTAGGGTTTAGGGGTTCGGGTTTAGGGTTTAGGGTTTAGGAGTTTTGGGCTTAGGTTTTAGGGGTTTAGGGTTTAGGGTTTAAGGTTTAGGGTTTGGAATTTGGAGTTTAGGGTTTAGGGTTTAGGGGTTTAGGGGTTCAGGGTTTAGGGTTTCTTATATAAGGGATCCTCAATCCTGCCTACCTCCATCCCAGCTTTTGAGGCTTCCCAGAAACTTACCAAAACTCTCAGCCCTAAACCGTAAACCCTAAACCCTAAACCCTAAACCCTAAACCCTAAACCCTAAACCCTAAACCCTAAACCCTAAACCCTAAACCCTAGCCCTGCCAGGATCCCACTGGACCTCATCAGCTTGAACAGCGCCATCCTCGCCTGTCGTGGTCGCTGGGAGGTCGCTCTGAGCTTGCTGCCGCTTGGGCTTTGGGTTTAGGGTTTAGGGTTTACGGTTTAGGGTTTAGGGGTTTTGGGTGCTTGTAAAAGATGTTAGAAGGGTTTCTTCAAGGGGTAGAAGTCCTGTTCCGTTAAAGGGTTCTACAGGGGTTTAGGGTTTAGGGGCTTTGAGAGGGCTTCAGGGTTGTAGGATTTAGGGCTTAGGGCTTTGAAAGGTTTTACGGTTTAGCGTTTCAAAAGTGTGTAAGGGTTCTAGGGGGTTCTACAAGATTATGGAGCGTAGGCTGTTTGAGGATGCGTAAGGGTTGGTTCTATAGGAATTCGACGGTTGAAGGTTACAGGCTTTGAGGATTCAACCCCAAACCCCAAACTCTAAACCCTAAACCCTAAACCCGAAACCCTAAACCCTAACCCCTAAAACCCTGAGTATGGGTTCTTTCAAGGGTTTTTGCATTTTCTTTCGGGGTCTGGGGGTTGTTGGGGAACGGTTTGGGGTTGTCAGGGCTTTGAGTTCATGGCTCGAGTCTGGGATTGTAGGGTTCAAGGGCTTGGGGTTTTGGTGTTTAGAGTTTAGGGTTCAAGGGCTTAGGGTTCAAGGGTTAGGGCTCAAGGGTTTAGGGCTTTAGGGTTTTGGGTTTGGGGTTCATGGGTTTAGGGCTCAAATGTTTGAGGCTTTTGGGGTTTATCGCTTTGGCCTCGGGGTTTCAGGTGCAGGCGAAAGCCTCAAGCCTGAATCCTAAGCCTTAACCGGCCAAAGCCTGATTTCGAATAGGGTTTTGGGGGTTCCTTTAAGGGGTCCTATAAGGGCTACTATAGGGGTTTAGGGTGTAGGGGCCTTAACAATTAGAATAGGGTTTCGAGGGTTCTTTATTATAGGCCCCTTCCTCAAGCCTTCATGATCCCCAAGCAAACCTCGCTTGTGAGCATTGACCTCAGCCGTGCGAGAGGGAAGAAGTCAGTACAAACCCGACGCCCTAAACCCCACACCGTAAAGCACTAAGGTACAGCATGAGTATCTTCGGCCTGAGTCCAGATGTAGTCAGCTACCACAGCGCCTACGTCGCATGCGACACTTGCGGTCTTTGGCACTTTGCTGCTCGGCCGCTGCGGCTTAGGTAGGTTTGAACTTTAGGGTTCGCAGCTCCAGTAGTCATGCTATATTTCAGGGTTCCTGATCATTGTAGTATGATGTACTTCAAGACCTTATCCTTATCCACCAAACTTCAAGCCCTGCAGCCCAAGAGTCAGAGCTTTAAGCCTTAAACCCAGTTGTATAGCTTACCAACCCTAAACCCTGGACCCTAAATCCCGACCGGACCAGTCGGCACGATCGGGGCAAAGGATGTGGCCTGGCAGATTGCCCACTTGCATGGGCTCCAGCCGCGAGTGCTTCATCGTGACATTGAGCTGGGGGACACCTTGATCGTTCCATCGCGGTATGGCCATCGCATCGGGAAGCATCCTGTGTTTTGGGGGCAGGACAGAAAGACACAAGAAAGATAATATGACGGCAAAGAGAAAGACAGCAAGGGCGAACGAAACGGCCAACAAACGAAGTTAGAAGGAAGGAAAGAGGTTGAGTGAAATCAACGGCAGGGAAAAAAGGAGGGATCAGAGACGGACAGCAAGACATAACGGAAAAAGGAGATGGAAGAACAAAGGGAAGAAATCAGAACGAGGGGCGAATGAAAGAACACACGACAGAAATTACGAAGGAAGGACAAACTACGGAAAGAAGGGAAGAACAAGATAATAAGTTAACAGAAATGAAGAAGAAGAAAAACAACTGAATACCGGAAGGGAAGATGGGCACAATGACTTCGACAAAGCCACACACAGGAACTTAGCTGCTTGTGCGCACGTTGTCCCACTGCTTCTCATCCAGGCAGCACGCCAGAATTCTGCTGACGGTCTCTTGCGTTTTTTTTAGATTGTAGATTGGATTGCCTATATAGGCCAGTCCAGAAGTCCTCCGACGGGAGGCTCACGCCGCCGAAGCTGATCTCTTCAGCTTCGGAGCAGTGATCTGGACGTTGTTGAACTGGGGAGCGGCGCCCAGGCACAAGTCTCTTGCTCATCTTCTGCACGTTCCCCCAAAACGCACGCAATCTGAATGCAGGAGCGGCCACAACCGGTCATCCGCGACATGATGGCACCCCCCGCAGCCTCATCAACGCCAGGCGATGCCTCGAAGTTGCTGAAGAGGCAGGTTTCTTGCTTTGTTCAGTTCTGCTTCGCACAGGGAGTCTTGTTTCTCGATGGCGATCTGAAGAAGCCTGAGCATCCTTCGAAGGAAACAGCCATGTGCTACTTCTAGGACCAGCTTCACAAGCACGGCTGTAGCCCGGAAGAGCTTTCAGTAAATGGAACGTGATTGCCTTCGACTTCTTCGGACTCCTGGCGGGGCCGGCTTGGGCCGTGGCTGTGAGAGGAGTCCCAGCCTACCGTGGCCACGCAACCATGCCTGAGAGCGGCTGACTTGGAAGCTTCGGAATCCAGCGCGTCGTGCGACTTGGGGCCATGCCCGCAACTCAAAGCTGTTTTGTTTTGTTCCTGTCCGGCGAAGGCATGCCAAGTTGTTTGGGACTAAACCGTATGCAGATGATGTGCTCACAGCGAATGCCGACGCGTCTGCTTAAGAGTCACAAGCTTGCTCGCCAGACGGTCGCTTCGACAGGTGTTCGCCATGGTGAATGTTATGTGATCGGCCCCGAGTACCCAAGATGTTGATTCCATCCGCCCCAATCCGCGCCTGCTTCACTAGACCGGATCTTCTGGGAACCACCTCAAAAAAAAATCCAATCTCTAAACCCCTACTACAGCCTAGAGTCTTAATCCGCCAACCTTAGTTTTTACATGCTGACTTCTTAAAACCCCAACGCCCCAAACTCTACAGTAGACACCTGAAGCTCTAAATCATACCAAGCCCTAAGTAGCTTACAAAGTCCTATAAAGTCCATGTGAAGACCTATAAAATCCTCAGTCAGGCTGAAGAGTTGCTCCTCTGCATGGGGCTCCTGGGTTGCTCCAAGGGGCGGAGCAAACGTGCGAGCGCGGAGAAATCAGTGGCTTGGGTCTTCCTGGCTTGAGCGTCCCGTTCAGGCACTGTACGGGTTTCTAACACGTAAGAATAAAAGTTTAGGGCCTGAGGTTGCGCAAGTGTCGATAATATGCCACGAGATGGGCGATTGGGAGGTTTTGCTGCCCAGGTTGTAGCTATCGTAGGTGAGGACGTCAAAACCACTACGTCGCTTGTTCTGGGTGATGGCTTGTCATGCCTTCGCCAATCTTGCTTTCAGGATGTTTGGATTTTAAGAGTTTTAGGGTTAGTACAACATCACAATCCCACGAAATCTTTGTGAGAAGCGCTTTATAAACCCATCACAGTGACTTGCTTGCTATGTTTTTGGCAGAGCCATCAACACTTAAAGCCACACCCTGAAGTAAGTACCTGGTTCTGATTGTTAGGCTTGCTGGACCTTTCCGGTTAATGCCTTACATGCCCTACTAACTACGTTCAGAAAATGCTACACCCAAATCATAAACCCTGAACCCTACACCCATACGTCCCTAAACCGTAAACTTTCGTAAACCGTAGCATTCCTCAGGTGATCTTATGATAGTGTTACAAAAAGAAAAGGAGGTAAATAACGCATGTAGAAACATACGTTTTTCGTGCCACCACCAAAAACACCACACCCTCCACCCTGCACCCTAGATTCCAACCCCTGCACCCGAGACCCTGCGCACGAACAGCCACCACCAGGATCTCGCCTTTCGCTTCGACTTCCCCCACTTCAAGCGCGTGGCTGTGGTGGTGGTGGGCGAGCCTCCAGAGGCCGGGCCCTTTGGTTTAGGATTTTACGATGGAGGGTTTTTGACTTAGGACTAAGGGGTTCGGGTTGACAGTTCAGGGGATGGTCTTGGGGATTCATGGGCATTGAAAAATCTTAGGATTTCTCACAGGCGTCGTCCAACTAGTAACCCACCCACACCCGAAACGATGCAAGGGCCCACCTCGACGCCCCGTATCCCGGCCCGAATTTCAAATCTTCACTTCCAGGCTAAAATGAGCCGTAACATTGTCCAGGTACGTAACTTGAGTTTAGGGTTCAGGGCTTGCCAAGTGACCAAAGCTTTGTTCGAGCCTTTGCAGCAATGAGAAGCCAGTTGCGGTTCTTTCCCAGCGTGGTGCATCAAGCCAGGCCATGAAACGTGCGTTTCCGAGGAACCATGCAGCCCAAGTGGTGCACAGGTGCCTCGCAGAGCATCTGAAATCCAAATTCAGGACGAGCTGCAGACTCACGACGTCCTTTGAAACTTCCCTGCAAAGCGCAGAAAAGTGTGCGGAACCTGAAGAACACGGCCAGCCGGCATGAAAAGAACCCAAGCCCTAATCCCCATATTATATACAAACCTCAAAAATCGCCAACAGCGCTTACATGCAATTCAGGTTTAGGATTCCCTGTCGAGGGTGTTCAGGGCTGTTGCATTGAGAGTTGGTGGTTCCTGTTCGAGGGCTCCGGGTTTTGAAGATTGGGGGTTCCAAGCGATTTCGGATTTAGGGTTGAAGGGTTTAGGGTTTAGGGGTTTACGGTTTAGGGCTTTGGGTTTAGGTGGTTGAGGCGCTTTGTTGTTTTCGCAGTCGTAGGGGACCACTTTACTCTCCCGACCTTGACCTGACAAGTAACCCCGATTCTCTCCATAAGCCCAAGGTTAAAAGAAGAAGTATGGGCCCCTAATATGGGCCCTTGGGCCTTTCTAGGGACGCTTCAGGGTACATATAGGGTATATAGTAGATGTATAAGGATCCCAAGGTTAAGGGCCCATACTAGGGGCCCATGGTTTCAACCTTAGAAATAAGGGTTTCAGCAAGGAGTTTGGAGCAGGAGCCTTGGCATGGAAACCGTCCTCCCCAAGCCCACACCCCAGCCCGCAGTGGAACCGTTCAATGTGCACAGAAGACCCTCGCGTGCAGTGTCCGGGTGGCCCAATAAACACCAAAACCCTCAATAAAGCCTTAAACCCCTAAGCCCTAAAACCCTAACGCCCTGAAACCCCAAAACCCTAAAACCCTTAAACCCCTAAACCCTAAACCCCTAAAGCGGGTGGGAGAAAAGCCCTAAAGCCCTAAAGCCGTAGACCTTCCAAGCCCCGACACCCCTCAGATCCTTCGAACCTCAAGAGTCGCCCTGAAGCGCAATAGGGTTTGGGGGTATATCATACTATTATTGTAAGGAGGACCCACCAAAGCTCTCTTCTGATTATGAAGGCCCGTACAGAGGAATCCGAGTCTAGCTTTTACGGCTCCTACACTAGACCCTTTATGGTAGCCCCGATGGCAACTCTCATAGCTCCGGTCACAGAGAGAACTCCATTCTAATACCATTCTAGTTTGAACGCCCCCCCGTTTTTGTAAAGCACTTCACAACCCCTACATAAACTTTGGCCCTAAACCCTAAACACTAAACCCCTAAACGGTGATTGCCATCTAGTTCAAGACGCATGGTATAGTTGCACACAGAGACCTCGTCTGGCGGAGTCCGAGTTGCGAGAGCGTAAACCCCTAAACGCTTAACCCCCAAACCCTAAATCGTGGCGAGGCGTTCAAGGCAAAGGCTCATGCCGTGCTTCTGGCAGAGAAGCAGGTGGGCCGGGAGCGCGGTGGGGTCGGGTTTCGGCTTCATGGTTGCCTCGGTTCCTGGGTTTAAGGTTTCGGTTTAGGGTTTAGGATTTAAGGCTTAGGTTTAGGTTTTAGGGTTTGGGGTTTAGGGTTCAGGGTTGCGTGGCCCAGGTTGCTGTCTAGGCTAAAGGCTTATGCATTAAGGTAGCTTTTTTCTGATTTTCATGTGGGTTTAGGGCTTTCGTCCAGGGGTTCTCGGCTTGAGCGCGTCTATTCTGGTTTTGGGGTCTCTCCTCCATTGCTCCCTGGTCTGCCCGCCCTGTTCTCTGTTCTTTGCCCTCTGCCCTCTGCCCTGCCCCTTGGCCCCTTGCCTGTCCTGCCCTGTACCCGTCGCGTGCCTGTCTGGGCACAGAAAAAGAAAGCACTTGTGGCATGATAGCCCTTAAGCCGCAAAGGCATAGGATGCTTGTACCTTTTTCGGCGTTGGGTGGTAGAGAAAGAAGGAGCAGGCTCCTCCAGACAGCTTTCACAGCTCCTCGCCATACTACAATCCACTCGACACAGCCTTTTCGCAAGATACTGTCGCCTGGGCGCTATTCCACGGCAAGCCCTAATTCATAAACAAACCATAAACACCTTACCCATAGGCCCCATAGTAGTATTCAGAATCCTATCCTTCTAATAAGGTAATCCCAAAAAGGAACTACTATGGGGCATATGGGCAAACCCCTCCAAGGAGAAGCTCGATGCCGAATGGAAAGTGCGACAGGCTGACAAGGACCTAGAGGGTTTAGGGTTTAGGGTTTAGGTTCAGGGTTTAGGGTTTATAGGGGCTTATAGGGGCTTATAGGACTTGACCGCATTTGTGTATTGTGGTGTGTTGATAGGTTCTTACACGGTTTGGATGTATGGTTGCTAAAAGGTGTGTAGCGGGTGTTTACAGGTTTTGTGTAAATAAAGGCTATTAGTGGTTTAAAAATTTGATTTTCTGTTTAGTAATAGTGAGGTTTTTGTATGATGGTTTGTTTGTTTTGGTAAGGTCTTTGATCGGCGTTGTTGTTACAGGTTGTCGAGGGCCTGGTACAATATATCACTTATATCACAGTTCTTTTTTGTGATGGTCCTGTAGCCTTCACGTGCCTCACATACCTCCCTTCTTTTGAATGGTCAATATTTCTGTGCCGGTGTTGTGCAGGGATTTGCAGGGCTTCAATAGGTGTCTATTCGGTTTAATGGGTTGAATACATGTTTGTCGATCGTCATTCTGATGTGTGCTACTGTTGCACATGGGATTTCTCACAGGTTTCGTCTGTAACGGTTTGAATATAGTTGCTCGCGGGGCTTTCTAAAAGGTCTCAGAAAGGTGCCATTAGGTTTAGATGGCTGTTTTTTCTGGCAGGTTGTCTCCATGTGGATAATTTAGTGTTCGCGGTAGGGCTTTGCTGGGTCCTTGGTACAAGTCTAGATAGGCTGTTTAATGCAGCATGCTGTTAAACGGGTTTCCATCGGCGTTTCAAGGTTTCGTTTATTTGTTTCATAGGGTTGACTTATCGGATTTTTGGCATGTCTTTATACTTTTCATAAGGTTTTTCAAGCAATATTATTCTCAGGGTTGGGCTAGGTGTCTTTTCGATGTGCGTTTGTTTGGTTTTGACACGGTGTTTTATCGCGGTTTGCGCGGGCCTTGATGCTGGAGTTGTCTAGGGTGTTCTGTGGGGTTTTATAGCCCCGAGAGCCCAATACCCCTTAATTCAGGAATATACCTTAAATCATAATATCAAGGCCCCTATAATATAAAGTATATTCCTTAATTAAGGGGTATTAGGTTCTCTGGGAGGGTGTGTTGTAGCAAAGTGCTATATGGCTCTAAGGGGCCGTTGGTTCTGATCGTTCGCTGCAGGCTCAGGCTTCTGGAGGGGGTTCTGTCGCGCGCTTAGGGCATCACGCATGCTTAGGATTTAGGCGGTCGCATCTCCATGAGCACTTCTCGGGGATTATTATGCGCAGGGGTTCTTAAGGGAATACTGACTCCATCAAAACAGCTCAAAACAGCTTCCACATTGACGTTTGTGTCTAGGGCTTGGCTTTCAGACTGTCAATCCACCCCTTCAGACGCTCACTGTTCACCCCCCGAACCCCAAGACAAGCCTTAAACGCGAAATCCTTTGCCCTAAAGCGCTCTACACCATAGTCCGCTGGCCAAGCTCTGAACCCTGAACTCCTCCAAGCCGTAACCCAAAGCTCCTGAACCCTAGTATAGGGGCTTTTCTTATTTCCTATACTATTTTGGGGGCTCTTTATTATATTTAACATACCCTAACATCCGTAAATCCTAAACCCTAAACCCCTAAACCCTCAACCCTAAGCCCTAAACCCAAGGCCCCCCCCCACCCCAAGCCGACGACAGGAGCGGCAGAGGCAGCTGGAGTCGCTAAGAGCGCAGCAACTGGCGTTACAGGAGCCCAGGGCGAATGGAGCTGTTTTGATGTTGTTGGGTTTAGGGTTTAGGGCTTTGTTAAGAGACTGGGTTCAAAAAAGGGTTTTGTTAGGTTTAGGGTATATTTTTTTTGCATCAGGCTTGCATGTATGCAAGCCTGATGTAAAAGGGTTTAGGGTTTTGATGTTGTTGCGCTTACGGTTTGAGTTTTGTAGGTTTAGGGTTTACGGTTTATGGTTATTTTGATGTCGCAAGTGCAGCGTGGAGCGAGACAGCTGTCCTGGCATGACGTTGCAAGCCAGTTGCAAAAAAAGGTTTTGATGTTGGGTTTAGGGTTTTTGTTAGGTTTAGGGTTTAGGGTTTTGATGTTGTTGGCAAGAAAGGGTGCAAGGTTTAGCGTTTAGGCGCTGGAGTCGCTAAGAGCGCAGCAACTGGCATTACAGGAGCCCAGGGCGAATGGAGCTGTTGTGATGTTGTTGGGTTTAGGGTTTAGGGTTTTGTTAGGTTTAGGGTTCAGGGTTAAGGGTGTTGATGTTGTTGGGTTTAGGGTTTAGGGTTATGATGTTGTTGGGTTTAGGGTGATGCAAAAAGGGTTTTGATGTTGTTGGGGTCAGGGTTTAGGGTTTTGTTAGGTTTAGGGTTCAGGGTTTTGATGGTGTTTGGTTTGTTGGGGTTCAATTTGTGTGTTGCTTTGTGAAAGGATTTTTGCTGCTACATGTGAGTTTTGTCCAAACCTAGTGTAGTAGCCTGAGATCTTAGGGCTGAGTAGCTAACCTTTAACCGTTTAACCTAAATCTTATATAATCCTACTAAGACTCGACAGGTTAACAGTTTTTGGGCTGAGGAGGATCTTGCATTGTTCCTGTGGTTCAACATGTCAGGCTATGTCTGCCAGATGCCGGCAAGGCTTGTGCCGCGTGTTCATGATTTCGGGGGCACTCAGATCAAGCATGCGTCTAGCCTGCTAGCATCGGTGTTGAGTTTCTGTTTCGTTTTGATATTCATATGTCATCTTGACATGGTGTGTGTGGTGCAAGCAGCACGTGCTTGAAGTGACACCACTTAAGAGACCTCGTCTGGCTGCAGCGTAGGCACCCGGAACCCGGAGAAGAACCCTAAACTAAATCCTAAACTAAACCCTAAACTAAACCCTAAACTAGCCCCTAAACCCTAAGCCCCTTAAACCCTAAATCCCAAACCCTAAACCCCTAAACCCAAAAACCCTAAGCCCCGTTAAGCCCTAAACAGTTCCAGAGGAGCAGCAGAGAAAGGCGGCCGAGGCTGCGAAGGCGAGGATCTGAAAGACTGGTTCATTTTGATTCCTTTAGGGTTTAGGGTGTATAGGGTTTAGGGTTTAGGGTGTAGGGTGTTTTTACATGTGCTACTCGAACCGGTACTATAGTTTAATAGGGGCATGAACAGTTATCAATACTATTCCGCAGAGCTCATTTATCATTTTGCTTCAGTAAGCCAAAACATCCTCGTGTTCTTTTCGTAGTAAGGCCACTTTTGTGAAGCGGGTTTAGGGTTTGGAGCTTTAGCATTTTAAAGGGTTCCAGAAGCTCTCTTTTTGAGAACAGGGTTCGATGCGACATGGACTCAGGTCTATGACTATTTGTTGTTATGGTTGTTATTATAATGCATTGTTTGTATACTCTTGCCTGCCTTGCGGCTGCCCTTCGGCTGGAAACCTCTAAAGAATCCCTCACGAAGGGGTACTGGTAAGGGATGAGGAGTTTCGGGCTCCCCGTCTATCCCCTTCTAGTTCCTAAATGGGCAGTTCTCTAAATTAGTGTCCCTTGTAGGATCCTTTCTATCTATAAGGGTGCCGTGCTGTTTCGGGGACCTAGAAAGGGACCCCAATTTAGAGAACTCCCCAAAAAGTTGTACAACTCATATAAAAACCCTAGAGGGTTCTTCTTCTTGCTGTTCTGAAACCCTAAACCTTAAACCCAAAACCACCCTGAACCCAAAGGACTCCCCATTAGAGTTCGCATGTTCGTGCCACTTGAGGGCTTTGGCTTCTCCTGTCTCAGCACAGGGCCGGACTCAAAATTCAATTCTTAGGGTTTTCGGGCCCGGGGTTCAGGGTTTACAGCGTTTACAGGGTTTAGGGCTTTTGGCTCAAGCTTTATGGCTACGAGACC